AAATTACATATGTCTAGGGGTGTGACAGTCTTGGGGTTTTCTTTAAGATCTAAGAACTCTACAGCCATGCTTTTTTTGGCTGTGTTTATAGTACCACACACGAGTTTCCTCCCATTGGGTGGGCATTAAGTCCAATTAGGTAGTTGTTGATTACCCCCAAGACAAAATGCCACTACTGCACCCATGTCATTTGTTGTGAAAGTCACTGATGTGGTTATTAGGCTTTGAAGATGGAGTGGGACCATCAATTGATGTTCTCACTTACCAGGTTTCATAGTGCTCTCCAAAATGATGAGAGCTAGCCTTCAGGGGAGGTCGCTTCCAGGTCAGTTTCAGCTCCATTACTCCAAATCCTGGATCCGAAGTATTTCCTGTCTTCAGGAATAGGTCTTTCCTTTAAGTTCTGGGAGGTGCTCAAGGACTGTGGCAACAGCCTGTGTCAATTTGGGAGTCTCCCGGATTACCCTGGCCAACAACTGAAAGGAAGGTTACTCCTGTTTGGCAACCTGTTTCTTGTTTTGTAGCCTTCAGCTATACGAATGGACTCATGTAGAGATATTGTATGTATAATTTTTCAGTAGGTTTTAGGGCTAATATGATTCCTTCTGGTGTTTTAAGCTAACTATGCATTATTTATCTCTCTTCTCTCTCCCTGTCTAAACCTCACTCCACGCCATCCCCATTTAAGGTATCCCCATTTTCCCCACTTCTCCCTTGATAATACCTGAATCCTATGGTCCCACCTCTCTTGACCTGCTTCTTCCCTTTTATCCCCATAGTTCCTTGTGTAACCCTCCCTCCCATCTCCCATTTAAATACCTCCATTTTACACATTTCTCCTTTAGTAACATCTGTCTCCTACTTCTTTCTCGGGTTCCTTTTACCTCCTTAGTTCCCTTCCATTTTTCCTGGTTCCTGCAGTGACATAAGGCATGTAAGGATTTAGTGCTAGAATCCCCAAATGAGGGAGAACATACATTGTTTTTCTGAGTCTGTGTTACTTCACTTAGTATAACAGTTTCTAGCTCCATCCATTTATGCACAAATTTCATGATTTCATCTTTCTTTACCACTGAGTAGAACTTCATTGTGTAAATGTAGCACATTTTCATTATCCACTGGTCAGTTGAGGGACAGTTAGGTTGAGTCCATCTCTTACCTATTGTGAAAAGACCAGCAACAAACATGGTTGTATAAGTATCTCTAGAATAGGCTGAATCCTTTGGGTGTATGCCAAGGAGTGGTACGATCGGGTCAAATTGTAGGTTCATTCTTATTTTTGTAAGAGTTCTCCAAGCTTCCTTCCATAGGGGTTGCATGAGGTTGCAATCCACCAGCAGTGAATGAGTGTTCCCCTTTTTCCACAGCCTGTCCAACATTTGGTATCATTTGTTCTCTTGATCTTAGGCAGTCTGACTAGGGTAAAATGAAATCTTAAAGTGGGTATAATTTGCATTTCACTTATTACTAATGATGTTGAAAACTTTTAAAGATGTTAAAGGTGTTTAAAACATCTTTTAAAGATGTTTTTAGCAGATCCTCAGCCCATCTTTTAATTGTTCCTTGATTCTTTGTTTTTTTGAGTTCTCTATATATTCTGGATGTTAAACTTCTGTCAGATGTGTCACTGGTGAAGATTTCTCCCACTCTGTGGGATTTCTCTTCACTTTCTTGATTGTTTCTTTTGCTGTACAGAAGATTTTTAGTTTAATAAGGTCCCACTTGTTGATCATTGACCTTAACTTCTGAGCAACGGATGTCTCATTTAGAAAGTCTTTTCCTGCTCACTCACCTTGGCCGCTCTGCTCTCCACATCCTCTCATTGCTCCGTCTCTCTCGTTGCTCTGCCAGCCACCATGGAAGAAGAAATCGCTGTGCTGGTCATCGACAAAGGCTCGGGCATGTGCAAAGCTGGCTTTCCCGGCGAAAATGCCCATCTACGAGGGTTACACCCTTCTCTCCGGCCACGCCATCTTGTGTCTGGACCTGGCTGGCCGGGACCTTACAGACTACCTCATGAAGATCCTGACAGAGCGAGGCTACAGCTTCACCACGACAGCTGGGCGGGAGATTGTGCCTGATATCAAGGAGAAGCTATGCTATGTTGCCCTGGACTTCGAGCAGGAAATGGCCAGTGCTGCATCCTCCTCCTCCTTGGAGAAGACCTATGAGCTACGGGACGGACGGGTGATCACCATCAGCAGCGAGCGATTCCGGTGTCCAGAGGCACCCTTCCACCCCAGCGGCATCCCTGAGACCCCCTTCAACGCCATCATGAAGTGGGACATGGACATCTGCAAGGACCTGTATGCCAACACAGTGCTGTCTGGCGGCACCACCGTGTACCCAGGGATTGCTGACAGTATGCAGAAGGAGATCACTGCCCTAACAACCAGCACAATGAAGATCAAGATCATTGCTCCCCGTGAGCACAAGTACTCAGTTTGGATTGGCAGCTCTATCCTGGCCTCACTGTCCACCTTCCAGCAGATGTGGATCAGGAAGTAGGAATATGACAAGTCGGCCCCCTAGATCGTCCACTGCAAATGCTTCTAGATGGACTGAGCAGGTGCCAGGCATCTGCTGCATGAGCTGATTCTGAAGTATCAATTTGCCCTGGCAAATGTACACCTCATGCTGGCCTCATGAAACTGGAATAAGCCTTTGAAATGAATTCTGGCCTTGAAGCTTGTATCTGATATCAACACTGGATCTTAAGCCTTGTTGCTGATTTTTGGCTTGAATTCAAGTACATAGCTTCCTTTAAGTCCTTAGGCCATGTTCTATTCAGTCAGCTGGTGGATGAGGCCAGCACCCAGTGGAAGAGAAATCCCCAGCCTGGTGGATCTGTCAGCACAGTGCAGTGATCTGTGCAGGGCACATTGTAAAGGACAGAGCTGATTGTTCCAGGTTTTCTCGAGACTGGCAAGGGTTCCTAAACCAGTTAGCACTTACCAGCCTAACCCGGTGGGAAAGTTCGAGCCTTAGGACCCAGTTTCCACTCTCATGTTTCCCTCCTTACCCAGGGGTTGTTAGTTGCCTGGAGTTGGGAACATTTGCATTTACACCTGTAAATTTATTCATCCTTATATGTAAGGTTTTATTTTTTACTCACTTCTTTAAGAAATGACAAATTTTGGTTTTCTACTCTTCAGTGAGAACATTAGGCCCCAGCAACACAGCCTTGTGTGTAAAGAAAAATAAAGTGCTGCAGTACACTGAAAAAAAAAAGTCCTTTCCTCCACCTACACCTTGTAAGTTACTGGCAATGTTTTTTTCTAATAGTTTCAGAGTTTTCAGTTTCACCTTGAAGTCTTTGATCCATTTGGAGTAGACTTTTGTGCAGGGTGAAAGATAAGGGTCTAGTTTCATTTTTCTACAGGTGAAGATCCAATTTGGCAGCACCATTTGTTGGAGATGCTGTCTTTCCTCCAGCATGTGTTCTTGGCCCCTTTGTCAAATACTGTGCGGCTGATACTTCATGTACTTATGTTTGGGTATTCAATTATGTTCCATTGATATATGTGTCTAATTTTTTTTGTGAGTAGCATGTGGTTTTTATGACTCTAACTCTGTAATATAGTTTGAGGACTGGTATAGTATTTCTCCCAGCATTACACTTTGTGCTCCGGGTTGCTTTGGCTATCTGGGGTTCTTTTGTGCTTCCATATGAATTTTCTAATTATGTGAAGAATGAAATGTCATGGAATTTTGATTGGGATTACATCGAATCTGTATATTGCTTTTGATAAGATGGTCATTTTCACAATATTAATCCTTCCAATCCATGAGCATGGGTGGTTCTTTCATCTGTCGCCAGCCGGGACTCTGTCCAGCAGAGTCCAGGAAAGACGACACAGACACCAAGGTGAGGTTCAAGCTTCTGTTTCTCTTTCTTCCTTTATTCTCTCTTATAGTCTCTTCATTATCTCACCCACTATGATGCTGTCTCTCGTAGTTCTCCTATATCTCTCACTTCATACTCTCTCATCTCACACCTCAGCTGTTCATCTAGCGTTTTCCAACAGCCCTCCCTCCAGCCAGGACCAATCAGGGCACACACACGTGCAGCGGGCAGGCATATTACACACCTCAGCTGTTCATATAGCGTTTCCAACAGCCCTCCCTCTAGCCAGGACCAATCAGGGCACACACACATGCAGCGGGCAGGCAGAGTGGCAGCTCATTGGCCAGGTAGCAAGACCATCAGGCTGGCAGCACCTGTTTTTGGGCTCACCATACTTCAGAGTTGGGGTAAACAAGCGGGATTCACGAGCCTTGGCAATCAGCCAAGAGTTGAAGTAAACAGCACGAGGTTTGGCAGCCAGCCAGGGCTCCATCTTTGGCTGGCTCGGCTGTGCTCGCTTCCCACATTCATCTTCTGC